CTGGTTCGTAACGTTACGTTGCTACTGGTTCGTAACGTTACGTTACTACTGGTTCGTAACGTTACGTTGCTACTGGTTCGTAACGTTACGTTACTACTGTTCGTACGTTACGTTACTAGGTTCGAACGTTACGTTTACGGTTCGTAACGTTACGTTACTACTGGATCGTAACGTTACGTTGCTACTGGTTCGTAACGTTACGTTACTACTAATTCGTAACGTTACATTACTACTGGTTCGTAACGTTACGTTACTACTGATTCGTAACGTTACGTTACTACTGGTTCGTAACGTTACGTTACTACTGGTTCGTAACGTTACGTTACTAGTTCGTAACGTTACGTTACTACTGGTTCGTAACGTTTACGTTACTACTGGTTCGTAACGTTACGTTACTACTGGCTCGTAACGTTACGTTACTACTGGTTTTTAACGTTACGTTACTACTGGTTCGTAACGTTACGTTACTACTGATTCGTAACGTTACGTTACTACTGATTCGTAACGTTACATTACTACTGGTTCGCAACGTTACGTTACTAATGGCTCGTAACGTTACGTTACTACTGGCTCGTAACGTTACGTTACTACTGGTTTTTAACGTTACGTTACTACTGGTTCGTAACGTTACGTTACTACTGGTTCGTAACGTTACGTTACTACTGGTTCGTAACGTTTCGTTGCTACTGGTTCGTAACTTTACATTACTACTGGTTCGTAACGTTACGTTACTACTGATTCGTAACGTTACATTACTACTGGTTTGCAACGTTACGTTACTACTGGCTCGTAACGTTACGTTACTACTGTTTTTTAACGTTACGTTACTACTGGTTCGTAACGTTACGTTACTACTGGTTCGTAACGTTACGTTACTACTGGTTCGTAACGTTACGTTACTACTGATTCGTAACGTTACGTTGCTACTGGTTCGTAACGTTACGTTACTCGGTTCGTAAACGTTACGTTACTACTGGTTCGTAACGTTACGTTACTACTGGTTTGTAACGTTACGTTACTACTGGTTCGTAACGTTACGTTACTACTGGTTCGTAATGTTACGTTACTACTGGTTTTTAACGTTACGTTACTACTGGTTCGTACGTTACGTTACTACTGGTTCGTACGTTACATTACTACTGGTTCGTAACGTTACGTTACTACGGGTTTCGTAACGTTACGTTACTACTGGCTCGTAACGTTGTACGTTACTACTGGTTTTTAACGTTACGTTACTACTGGTTTTTAACGTTACGTTACTACTGGTTCGTAACGTTACGTTACTACTGGTTCGTAACGTTACGTTACTACTGATTCGTAACGTTACGTTACTACTGGTTCGTAACGTTACGTTACTACTGATTCGTAACGTTACATTACTACTGGTTCGTAACGTTACGTTACTACTGGTTCGTAGCTTTATTTTACTACTGGTTCGTAACGTTACGTTACTACTGGTTCGTATCATTACATTACTACTGGCTCGTAACGTTACGTTACTACTGGTTTTTAACGTTACGTTACTACTGGTTCGTAACGTTACATTACTACTGGTTCGTAACGTTACATTACTACTGGCTCGTAACGTTACGTTACTACTGGTTTTTAACGTTACGTTACTACTGGTTTTAAAGTTACGTTACTACTGGTTCGTAACGTTACGTTTACTACTGGTTCGTAACGTTACGTTACTACTGGTTCGTAACGTTACGTTACTACTGGTTCGTAACGTTACGTTACTACTGGTTCGTAACGTTACGTTACTACTGGTTCGTAACGTTACGTTACTACTGGTTCGTAACGTTACATTACTACTGGTTCGTAACGTTACGTTACTACTGGTTCGTAACGTTACGTTACTACTGGTTCGTAACGTTACGTTACTACTGATTCGTAACGTTACGTTACTACTGGTTCGTAACGTTACGTTACTACTGATTCGTAACGTTACGTTACTACTGGTTCGTAACGTTACATTACTACTGGTTCGTAACGTTACGTTACTACTGGTTCGTAACGTTACGTTACTACTGGTTCGTAACGTTACGTTACTACTGATTCGTAACGTTACGTTACTACTGGTTCGTAACGTTACGTTACTACTGATTCGTAACGTTACATTACTACTGGTTCGTAACGCTACGTTACTACTGGTTCGTAGCGTTATATTACTACTGGTTCGTAACGTTACGTTACTACTGGTTCGTAACGTTACGTTACTACTGGTTCGTAACATTACATTACTACTGGCTCGTAACGTTACGTTACTACTGGTTTTTAACGTTACGTTACTACTGGTTCGTAACGTTACATTACTACTGGTTCGTAACGTTACATTACTACTGGCTCGTAACGTTACGTTACTACTGGTTTTTAACGTTACGTTACTACTGGTTTTTAAAGTTACGTTACTACTGGTTCGTAACGTTACGTTACTACTGGTTCGTAACGTTACGTTACTACTGGTTCGTAACGTTACGTTACTACTGGTTCGTAACGTTACGTTACTACTGGTTCGTAACGTTACGTTACTACTGGTTCGTAACGTTACGTTACTACTGGTTCGTAACGTTACGTTACTACTGGTTCGTAACGTTACGTTACTACTGGTTCGTAACGTTACGTTACTACTGGTTCGTAACGTTACGTTACTACTGGTTCGTAACGTTACGTTACTACTGGTTCGTAACGTTACGTTACTACTGGCTCGTAACGTTACGTTACTACTGGTTTCGTAACGTTACGTTACTACTGGTTCGTAACGTTACGTTACTACTGGTTCGTAACGTTACGTTACTACTGGTTCGTAACGTTACGTTACTACTGTTCGTAACGTTACGTTACTACTGGTTCGTAACGTTACGTTACTACTGGTTCGTAACGTTACGTTACTACTGTTCGTAACGTTACATTACTACTGGTTCGTAACGTTACGTTACTACTGGTTCGTAACGTTACGTTACTACTGGTTCGTAACTTTACGTTACTACTGGTTCGTAACGTTACGTTACTACTGGTTCGTTACGTTATTACTGATTCGTAACGTTACGTTACTACTGGTTCGTAACGTTACGTTTCTACTGATTCGTAACGTTACATTACTACTGGTTCGTAACGTTACGTTACTACTGGTTCGTAACGTTACGTTACTACTGGTTCGTAACGTTACGTTACTACTGGTTCGTAACGTTACGTTACCACTGGTTCGTAACGTTACGTTACTACTGGTTCGTAGCGTTACGTTACTACTGGTTCGTAGCGTTACATTACTACTGGTTCATAACGTTGCGTTACTACTGGTTCGTAACGTTACGTTACTACTGGCTCGTAACGTTACGTTACTACTGGTTCGTAACGTTACGTTACTACTGGTTCGTAACGTTACGTTACTACTGGTTCGTAACGTTACGTTACTACTGGCTCGTAACGTTACGTTACTACTGGTTCGTAACGTGTCAGCAAGCAACCCACACTCGTGCGTTTTATATGCCGGAATATACAGTAGTTCATTGAAAATGGTTTAAGGTATACTGGTTCAAATGAAATGTAAATTCTGGTTGAATGCAATTGTAGCAGTAGTTGTGATTTTAAGTTGAACATGAATATTCTACAATACCGACACGATGAACAATTAGACACTTGTGCAACATCTGGGTATCTTTATTGTAGACGTTTCGCCCTCCAGTGACTTTAAGATAAGATAAGATAAGATTTCGTTCGGATTTTTAACCCCGGAGGGTTAGCCACCCAGGATAACCCAAGAAAGTCAGTGCGTCATCGAGGACTGTCTAACTTATTTCCATTGGGGTCCTTAATCTTGTCCCCCAGGATGCGACCCACACCCAGGTACCTATTTGCTGCTAGGTGAACAGGACAACAGGTGTAAGGAAACACGTCGAAATGTCTCCACCCGCCGGGAATCGAACCCGGGCCCTCCGTGTGTGAAGCGGGAGCTTTAGCCACCAGGCCACCGGGCCTGGTGTGTTAGGTAAGACACATATGCAACAGTTAGGTATCTTTATTTCGAAACGTTTCGCCTACACAGTAGGCTTCTTCAGTCGAGTACAGAAAAGTTGATAGAAGCAGAAGAGACTTGAAGACGATGTAATCAGTCCATCACCCTTAAAGTTTTGAGGTGGTCAGTCCCTCAGTCTGGAGAAGAGCATTGTTCTGTTGCATATGTGTCTTATCTAACAACCTGTCGGTATTTTATACCATTTTAATGTTCGATTTTATCAGTACAGATTCCAGGACATAATGGAGAGACTGTACAACTATATACAAAAGAGGAGGTAATTAGTCCCTCAGTCTTTGAGTTGGCGTAGAGTCTTCCAGACTACGGTGGTCTTCACCTACTCCGAGATTGAGGGACTGATTACCTCGTCTTCTGTATGTAGTTCTACAGTCTTCCCATTATGTCCTTGTACTGATAAAGTCACTGGATGGCGGAACGTCTACCAATAAAGATACCCAGATGTTGCATATGTGTCTAATTCTAAATAAAAGGTATTTATTTAAGAATGAGTCAGCACAGTGGAGACAGTTTCCTAATTACAACACGTTCGTAAATTGCACCACTGACTTGCGTTTACTTACGTGTGTCTGTGGTGATAGTCAGGAATAGTTTTAGGAATGTGGTTAATGTTGTGAGAAGAGGTTAGTACCTTGACTAATTAGCCTGATTTTCTTAAACAGTTCTCGCCAGGCATGAGAAGAGAAGAGAGGGGAAGGAAAGGGAGAGAGAGAGAGCAGAGGTACAGGTAGGAGATGAGGAAAGGTGGAAAAGGAAAGAGGAATAATGGAACATGGGCAACAAGAGAATAAGAATAAACGAGATGTGAAGCATCAGTGGAGAGAGAGAGAGAGCAGAGGTAAAGGTAGGAGATGAGGAAAGGTGGAAAAGAAAAGAGGAATAATGGAACATGGGCAACAAGAGAATAAGAATAAACGAGATGTGAAGCATCAGTGACATACATAGTGGCATCAGTGATGTGACCCACCTGGAAGTGGACATGCCCATGCCAATCTGTCCACAGGACACAGAGGTCGGCACCCGTCAGCTGACCTCGGTCCGAAAACCCGACCGCCAGCCAAGGTTGAGAGGCGCGTCCTCTGGAATGGACTTCGAACTTCACTTCCTCGCTAGGGTAGTCTAGCCGCCAGAAGAGGTGGTGGGTGTCGTTGAAATCAAGAGCCACGTCGTAGATGGGGGACAAGTCAGGGTGGATGGGGGAGGCGCAGACTGCGGCCGCCAAAAGAAACAGCAGGATGCGTGAGGTTCCACTACGGCTCCACGTTCTTCGGGTCTCCATGACGGAATGATACCGATGGGGCGGTTGTGTCAGCCTGGAAGGTCTCTGGGCGTATTGCGCATGCTGCTTGTGGGCGCTTACCCCGCCCATATTTCCTTTCCCACCCCGCCCACTTCCCTCTTGTCTTGAAGTTACCTTTTCCTTGATATTAACCTTGATAATTGATACCGGAAAACTGATTTTTAAGACACGTTTCCCGTCAATAGGTCTATAGGGTTTTTAATTCGACCAGTTGGCCGAGGTAGAACCAGGCAGTTGCAGGAGTAGAGAGTGGGGACAGAGCCTTCGCTTCTCTACTTGACTCTTACACTTACACTGAAAATTTTGTAGACGTTTTGCTATTAAGGGGCTGTATCAGTCCTTCAAGACTGAGGGACTGATTACCTTATCTTCTAAATAGTTCTACGGTCTTCTCATTATGTCCTTGTACTGATAAAGTCACTGGAGGGCGAAATGTCTATAAATAAAGATACCCAGATGTTGCACATGTGTCTAATTCTTCATACTGTAGCTCGGCTGGTAGCGAACTTAACTCATACAGTGAGTATCCGCGGTTCGATCCCCGGTACAGGTGAAAACAATGGGGCTTTTCCTTACACCTGCTGTCCCTGTTCACCTAGCAGTCAGTAGGTACCTGGGTGTTAATCAGCTGGTGTGGGTGGCATCCTGGGGACAAAATTAACCTAAACTGCAGAAAATACTCTGCATACCAAGGGACTTTCTATATAATATGTCACTGGTGTGAGCTATGGTCTGTATAAGTTGTATCTTGTACTGGTAGAAATAAAGATTATTATTATTATTATTATTATTATTATTATTATTATTATTATTATTATTATCTTCCAGGTAAACTCCAGATAGGTGGGTGCTGATGGAGTTTGTACGTAGTAAGCGGGTCTGAGAGAGCAACGGTAACCATGGTGATTCTGGTGAAGCATCACGGACCCTGAGTCACCATGAAGCCTGGTCACAGACCGGGCCACGGGAGCGTCGACCCCCGAATCCATCTCCAGGGATCCCCAGGTATAGTTACCAACTGGTGCACTCAGAACTGCGGCTTTGACTAGGTGCTACACGTCCCTTGTCAAAATTCATACACAGTTTCATGACTAGGTAAGGCTGGCAGGAGCCGAGAAAAAGGCTTCGAGAAAGGTGTTTTGAATTTCTTCCTGAAGCCTTTTAAATATTCCACTTTCCCTACAACACCATCCATTATTTTTTTGCCAATATTTTAATGCATAATATGGTATACAAGACCTGAAAAATCTAGTCAATCCTCTCTCTCTCTCTCTCTCTCTCTCTCTCTCTCTATATATATATATATATATATATATATATATATATATATATATATATATATATATATATATATATATATATATATAAATATATACATTTTCTAAGGTCAGGGAGAAGGTAATAGTGGTGGTCCATATATACAAACACATCCACAAAACTGAGTGGTATTAAGCGAATGTAGTATAGCGACTGACCAGGGATCGAACCCTTGGTATTTACTAAGCCTTCCAGGGATCGAACCTTTGGTATTTACTAAGCCTTCCTGGGATCGAACCCTTGGTATTTACTAAGCCTTCCAGGGATCGAACCCTTGGTATTTACTAAGCCTTCCAGGGATCGAACCTTTGGTATTTACTAAGCTTTCCAGGGATCGAACCCTTGGTATTTACTAAGCTTTCCAGGGATCGAACCCTTGGTATTTGCTAAGCCTTCCAGGGATCGAACCCTTGGTATTTACTAAGCCTTCCAGGGATCGAACCTTTGGTATTTACTAAGCCTTCCAGGGATCGAACCCTTGGTATTTACTAAGCCTTCCAGGGATCGAACCCTTGGTATTTACTATGGTATAGATGAACTGGTTTTGTTGGGTATAGCATAGTGTTGGTGTAGTTAAGTCAGGGAGATGGGGTGACTTTTAACTAGAACTCTTGAGTGGCAGGTGGGAGACCTTTCGCTGGCTCGAGCAATGAAGTCCAGATCCTGGGGACCTTCGTGTGAACTGCCTTTTTGCATAGTGTGAGGCGTTAGTTTGATATGTTTATGATGCAGCCCATACCCATCCTGTGAGCGGTAGTCACCACATACCCATCCTGTGAGCGGTAGTCACCACATACCCATCCTGTGGGCGGTAGTCAAAGGGTTACAGAGATGTGATGAATGGTTTGAAAAACCGACAAGTTGAAGATTGAGACACTTATGCAGCATATGGGAATCTTTATTCAGGAAACGTTTCGCCACACAGTGGCTTCATCAGTCCAATACAAAGAGGAAGGCGTAAGTAGAGAAGGAGTATGAGGTAATCAGTCCCTCAGCCTGGAGTCGATGTGTTCAGTCCATCAATCTTGTACATTCTACAAGATTGATGGACTGAACATATAGACTCCAGGCTGAGGGACTGATTACCTCATACTCCTCCTCTCCTTACTCCTTCCTCTTTGTATTGGACTGATGAAGCCACTTTGTGGCGAAACGTTTCCTGAATAAAGATTCCCATATGCTACATAAGTGTCTCAATCTGGTTACAGAGATGCATAATGGGTCCAGGGACTTTATCTCAACATTACAGAGGTGCATAGTGGGTCCAGGGATGGTATCTCAACATTACAGAGGTACATAGTGGGTCCAGGGACTGTACCTCAACATTACAGAGGTACATAGTGGGTCCAGGGACTGTACCTCAACATTACAGAGGTACATAGTGGGTCCAGGGACTGTACCTCAACATTACAGAGGTACATAGTGGGTCCAGGGATGGTACCTCAACATTACAGAGGTACATAGTGGGTCCAGGGACTGTACCTCAACATTACAGAGGTACATAGTGGGTCCAGGGGCTGTACCTCAACATTACAGAGGTACATAGTAGGTCCAGGGACTGTACCTCAACATTACAGAGGTACATAGTAGGTCCAGGAACTGTACCTCAACATTACAGAGGTACATAATGGGTCCAGGGGCTGTACCTCAACATTACAGAGGTACATAGTGAGTCCAGGGACTGTACCTCAACATTACAGAGGTACATAGTGGGTCCAGGGACTGTACCTCAACATTACAGAGGTACATAGTGGGTCCAGGGACTGTACCTCAACATTACAGAGGTACCTAGTGGGTCCAGGGACTGTACCTCAACATTACAGAGGTACATAGTGGGTCCAGGGACTGTACCTCAACATTACAAAGGTACATAGTGGGTCCAGGGACTGTACCTCAACATTACAGAAGTACATAATGGGTCCAGGGACTGTACCTCAACATTACAGAGGTACATAATGGGTCCAGGGACTGTACCTCAACATTACAGAGGTACATAATGGGTCCAGGGACTGTACCTCAACATTACAGAGGTACATAGTGGGTCCAGGGACTGTACCTCAACATTACAGAGGTACATAGTGGGTCCAGGGACTGTACCTCAACATTACAGAGGTACATAGTGGGTCCAGGGACTGTACCTCAACATTACAGAGGTACATAGTGGGTCCAGGGACTGTACCTCAACATTAGAGGTACATAGTGGGTCCAGGGACTGTACCTCAACATTACAGAGGTACATAGTGGGTCCAGGGACTGTACCTCAACATTACAGAGACACATAGTGGGTCCAGGGACTGTACCTCAACATTACAGAGGTACATAGTGTGTCCAGGGACTGCACCTCAACATTACAGAGGTACATAGTGGGTCCAGGGACTGTACCTCAACATTACAGAGGTACATAGTGGGTCCAGGGACTGTACCTCAACATTACAGAGGTACATAGTGGGTCCAGGGACTGTACCTCAACATTAAAGAGGTACATAATGGGTCCAGGGACTGTACCTCAACATTACAGAGGTACATAATGGGTCCAGGGACTGTACCTCAACATTAAAGAGGTACATAGTGGGTCCAGGGACTGTACCTCAACATTAAAGAGGTACATAATGGGTCCAGGGACTGTACCTCAACATTACAGAGGTACATAGTGGGTCCAGGGACTGTACCTCAACATTACAGAGGTACATAGTGGGTCCAGGGACTGTACCTCAACATTACAGAGGTACATAGTGGGTCCAGGGACTGTACCTCAACATTACAGAGGTACATAGTGGGTCCAGGGACTGTACCTCAACATTAAAGAGGTACATAGTGGGTCCAGGGACTGTACCTCAACATTAAAGAGGTACATAATGGGTCCGGGGACTGTACCTCAACATTACAGAGGTACATAATGGGTCCAGGGACTGTACCTCAACATTAAAGAGGTACATAGTGGGTCCAGGGACTGTACCTCAACATTAAAGAGGTACATAATGGGTCCAGGGACTGTACCTCAACATTACAGAGGTACATAGTGGGTCCAGGGACTGTACCTCAACATTACAGAGGTACATAGTGGGTCCAGGGACTGTACCTCAACATTACAGAGGTACATAGTGGGTCCAGGGACTGTACCTCAACATTACAGAGGTACATAGTGGGTCCAGGGACTGTACCTCAACATTACAGAGGTACATAGTGGGTCCAGGGACTGTACCTCAACATTACAGAGGTACATAGTGGGTCCAGGGACTGTACCTCAACATTACAGAGGTACATAGTGGGTCCAGGGACTGTACCTCAACATTACAGAGGTACATAGTGGGTCCAGGGACTGTACCTCAACATTACAGAGGTACATAGTGGGTCCAGGGACTGTACCTCAACATTACAGAGGTACATAGTGGGTCCAGGGACTGTACCTCAACATTACAGAGGTACATAGTGGGTCCAGGGACTGGGCTCCAAACTTTTAATAGTGTGAGACGAACACAAGGGATATCGAACAGAGTTTTGTGTCTTGTGTCTGTGTTCTGTTGATGCTTTCAAGGAGAAGTTTGAGAGGAGGGTTTATATTTAAGTTCAATATTCTTTACATATATATAGGTGAGTTAAGGGTAGATTAGAGAGTGGTACAGTGTAAGCAGTGAAGTTTGGGGCACATAGTACCGTATCATGGAGAGGATGTCTACTGTTTCGGAGACTTTCTTGGCTATGTGTTGGATGTAAGTATGGAATTTCAGGTTGCAGTTAAGAGGAAGGCCTAAAAATTTGCCCTATGGGTGTCTTCTAATGGGGGAACCATTGATTAAAACCACTGTGTGAGGGGAGAGCATTGGCTACCAGGCCACAGGAAATTGCCTTTGAGAAATGGTTATAACTTCGTTCATAATTTTTAAAGGGGGTGGACCGGTAAGCCAGCTGAAGGCCTCGGTCAGATGACCAAACACTCCAATCGCGGGTCATCATCTAAGACCAGCTTCAGCAAACACTTGTCCAGTTTCCTGACAAACCGAACCTAACCTAGGCCACGGAACCCAGTGTTCATGGGTACCTGATGGTCTCCTAGTGGATAAAGTCGTCGAGAAATTTTCCAAGAATCCCGGAGGCTGTGTAAATGGGGCGTCCTCCTCTAGTGCAAACTGTGGGATCCATAGTCTCGGAGAAGTGGATAAAATGGCTTCAAGGAAGAATATTTGGATATCTTTCTGAAGCCATTTAAATATTTCACTTCCCCTACCACAACATCTTTTAGCGCACACACACACACACACACACACACACACACACACACACACGAATGAGGACCTTCCTGCATGAGGTTCAGTGGGAACAGGAGTTGGTAGGAAAATCAGTAAATGAAATGATGGACTTTGTAACAACAAAATGCTAGGAGGCAGAGGAAAGGTTTGTTCCCAAGGGCAACAGAAATAATGGGAAGACCAGAACAAGTCCCTGGTTTACCCGAAGATGTAGAGAGGCAAAAACTAAGTGTGCTAGAGAATAGAAAAAGTACAGAAGGCAAAGGACTCAGGAAGATAAAGAGATTAGTCGACGAGCCAGAAACGAGTATGCACAGATAAGGAGGGAGGCCCAGCGACAGTATGAAAACACAGCATCGGAAGTCAAGTCTGAAACGAAACTGCTGTATAGGCACATTAGGAGGAAGAGAACAGTCAAAGACCAGGTAATCAGGCTGAGGA